TGTCTGGTTCGAATCGAATATCAAGAATGCATTTGCCTGCAAAACACCTGACAAAAGTACTTGCCCTCGTTTTTCGTGAAAGTCGCGACCCATGATTTTGAACGTCTACTTTTTCACAGATATTTGATGATGTTCATGACCATTTGACATTCTGTATTGAAGACACGGCTAATAAGTGATAACAAAAACGCTTCTTTGCTTAATCTATGTGAAAAATATAATCTAGTGAAACTGAATTTAATATGACGTTTTAAAGCAATACTTGTCTTCCCTGTTTCTGTGTTATCTTTTTATTTAATAAACAGTTACAGTCGATTTGTTTCGATCCCCTGAATGGCTTTTACTGGAAAACTTTCACTTTTTTGCTTACAGGTGGGCGAACACTCGTTAACTGACAGGATGGTGATAGATCGTGCACCTTTTAAAGCTACACGATGCGGGTTACTAGCCATAAGAATTAGCAACAATGTATTTATGTAATATTTTCGCTAAATCAGCTATTTAACTAGCTATAGTTATTTAACCTTGGCGTAATGACTACAATCTGTCTACACCGCTGCAGCGTTGCGGTCAGAAAAGTGCTACAGTTTTCGCCATGCAAATTCAGTATTAGTGCTATACGAATTATATTTACCAGTGAAATCAGAAAACTGTCGTTAATGGCAGCTGCCCACAGAATATCAGGGTTACATTTCGTCAGATTTTCTGTACTTTTGCTGAAGGACAGTGAAATGATGTTGGTACTCGAACAAGCCATTGTTCAGCTAAAATCAAAGACACTGTGTTGAATCCTATGCACTGCAGGAACATGCATGGAGTACTCATGAACTGTAGCCTGCTTAAAATTTTCCGCACATGCGTGTAGAAATAAAGAACAGCGCATTTTTGAAATACTTGGTGTAATGAGAACCTAGTGGAAAGTACAAAAGATATCAATATTTTAAGAATTCATAATGTTCTGTTCTCAGTTGCTATGGATAGCAGATTTTGCTGATAACTTGCCAAGCGATGAAA